AACAAATACTCTCATCAAATATTGGAATTCGAAGAATTCTTAAATCATCGAATACTATAGAAATGAAAAAAATAATTATATAAATGTGTACATATTTTGTCTCTTTTTTAGAATTAAATTATCATATATTTTTTATTGAGCATTAATTCAATGCGTTTTGTTTGACGTTTAACAAAGTATTTACGTCAAATCGTTGTATTTATTACATTTATTACATTTTATTTCCATATTTCTATTATATTTTTTTCTGATATTATATTACACAATGTACATTAAATTTTTTTTGACACCATTACACAGTAATACATTAAATTATCCAATGATAGCAAAAGATACTTATTCTTTTTACGGTCAGCCCATGATCTCTATAAGTTTGTGTCATAATACGACTATTATAAATATGTTTGTACAAAAGATGATGTAATTGTTAACTAATAAAATATTTTAAAAAGTCATGGTTAATGTAAAAACTTGTACACATAACTCTAATCTTTTTTTTTAAATGTATTCTATTTATATATATTTATTTATATATAATTATAATCAATTATAATAATTATAATAAATTTTTTCAAATCTTTAAAAATTCTTCACGAGGTAGAAGTAGAATGCGAATAAGTTATGCATAGATCTCTCTTCTTGTAATAGTAGGCTTTTAAATATTTATAGCGAATTTGATTGATACGCACTTAGTGCGTACTACACATTAAAGCCGTCGTACATAAAATAACGTGAAGATATGTTTATACATAAATATAGAAATCGATTAAATCCTGAAATACTCAATACATTTTATTGTAGTATTAGGTAAAATATGTACTTTGTAATTCAAATATTTGCATTTTACTTTTATACTCAAATTAAATCAGTGTACAATGGCATTAATATGTACCACAGTGTGCGTTAATGCTTCTAATTAAGTTCATCATTTTAAATAACAATCGCAGAAAGGAAGGGTACCGGTCCGATAAAAACACTTTGCTCGTAATGTATGCACTACTGGTGCTGCTGTCACTACTGCTCTGGAGGACATCCACATCGTTTGCGAAAGGGGGAAAGAACTACGGTACACACGCCGTACATCCGTCGTGCAGTAGATACGAACTGCTACTCGAACACACGGTGTTCAAACGGTGTCTCGTTAACTTGCATCAAAGACTAATTTGTTCTACTCATCTATCGCCTTCTGTATTTTTGCTATATTTTTTCTTTTTCTATTTGTTTTTTTACTTGTTATCTAACATCCTATGTATTATACATACATGACTATTTGATCTCGTTTGTTATTCTGATCCGGCGAACACTTGCGTCAATAACGAGAATCACAGCAGATCTGATGTGTAGACGATAGATATCAAGAATAGGAAACTAATTGTAACGAATATTCCATTAGTAACAAAAATCGACGAAATTCGGAACGGTGCAAATTATTCAGATTCAAGATCTTTCGGAGTCGTGAGGTGGCGATCAAAAATAGCTATACACATCCTAGCTGAAGCCTGTGACAAGAAGCGGCTGGTTAAAATTTAGTGGCTGATTGTATTCTGTATTTTTATGTAAGTATTAAAAATTATGTAATTCAATATTAGTAAATTATATTTCAAATGACAGTTAGAGAACGTTTACAGCTAATATTTTTATTTAACCCTGTTACTTTGAGTTTAATTAAGCAATGTTTTGCAAAAATTAATTAAAATAAAATAGAATTTAAAGGAATAAACATTCTAAGCAGCATTACACTTTTTTATGTTTTAAGTTTAATTTACGATTATTAATTTTGATGAAGAAAACTCATTTTTTCTTAAAGTCATTCAATTTTTCATGTTTTTAATTGTATTACATATTGTTATTGAATTAGGGAAAAAGTCCCTCTACAAGTTAGTAAAAAGACCTTTCCCTATCAATATCTTCGTTAAAAATGATCAAAATTTAAATTAAAATAAAGGATTTTATAGCTTGAAATCTCTACTTTCGAATAGTTACTATATTTTTTGAATTTATGTGAGTTTTGTAATTTTTACATATAGAAAACTACAAGTTCGAAAAAAATATAAAATTTTCTTTTTACTTTATAGATCTGCATGCTAAAAAAAATTTAATAAATTTTTGATTATCTACTAAGAAAGCTTGAAACTTTCCCTACAAAATCATTTTTCAAAAATGTTCTTATGATTTTTTGTTCCTCGCGGATTAGGTAAAAAAGAATATTCTGACTTTATTGCTCGTAATTCCATTAAAAATCATAGTATCGCAATAAAACAGCAGATACTTAAAGCTAAAATGTTGCTCTATCAAGTGGTATAATTATCATTTTTTTAAATAGACTATATGAGTTATTGAAAAAATCTTTTTACCAACTTATAAGAGATTTTTTTCCTAATCTAATATTAAAAAAAAATATATATATATAAAACAATAAAAAACAGTTTGCTGAAAAAATCTTTTTACCAACTTATAAGAGATTTTTTTCCTAATCTAATATAAAAAAATATATATATATAAAACAGTAAAAAACAGTTTTATATAAAAAAAATAGTTTTAAAAAATAGTTTTTTTTATATTAAAAAAAACAGTAAAAATAGTTTTTTATGACTTATATAAAAAAGTCGAGTATTTTGCAATAATTCTTTAATAGATAAAATTTCTTTAAAATTTTGTAACTTTTGTATAAAAAATTCACGTATAAATTTATTTATTTAGACAGATAAATGAATTAAACATGCTGTAAACATATTTTAAATGTGAAAACTAATTATATACAATATTTAACTTCTATTTTCAAATACAATTTCGAAAATGTGCATGGCTATTTCTAAATTTCAATTTTTCACAACTACAGCTTACACTAAAAAGATAATCTAAAAGGTTTAATATTATTGTTTTACGATGCAACTTACAAATAGAATCGAAAAAACATTGAGTGTTTTAAACAAATTAGTATAATAATGTAAAATATAAACGAGAGAGATAATTAAATTTTGTTTTTAAAATATTTTTATTTAAATAAAAAAAT